TAAGATGAACTGTGGCTAGCTAGATAATCTGATGAGGGTCCCACGTTACTGCTGCTGCTGGCGGCGGTACTTCTTCCCCACGAATGCGTCCATAACAAATAAAAGGGGTAAAGTTACCCCAAAAGAGTATAGAAATTACAGATGAGCCCTATATAGTTGTTCCCTATCAACCCCGTGCATAGCTAGAGAATCTTCTAGTCCATTTGCCTCCCGTGGAACCCCTTGAAAAGTTACTGTCGTTCCTCTTAGTAACCATTTGATTTTCTTAACCCCTTCTCAGTAGACCCAAACTGCCTTCTTTACATCTTTTAGCCAACTAATCACCAGTTGAGAGTTCCCTTCAACAACCAACCTTTCCAGATTTAACTCTTTTGCTATTTGAGCCCCATACAGGATAGCAAGGAGTTTAGCTCTAATGAAATCTCCTAGACCAATAGGACCTGAGAAGATAGCTAATATATTTCCTTCTTTATCCCTAAAGATCCCCCAATGCCTGAAGGGCCTGGGTTATCGAGGCTGGTCCCATCAAAATTAAGTTTTATAAAGTTTTCCAAGGGTGGAGTGCAAGGTTTGATGATTTTCTCTTTCCTTATAGACGATTAATCTGTTTCTATTCAGTTCTGAAGAAAGAAGAGAAACAGGAAGAAAAGAAGCTTAGAAGAAATGGGCGGTTTATTTCTACAGCCCCCAAACAGTATTTTATATTAGGGCAATAAGAAAAGGATAAAATGACTAATCTGCCCCTGATTAGTAGGCAGTAAGGAAACATAAGAAAAACAGAATAAGACCAGGTCCATTAATCCCAGAAAGGAAGTGACAGATAATTTCATAACATAACATAAATAGGCCCAAGCTCACAATGCTAGGCTACCCAACACTCCCCCTTAAGCTGAACATAGATATCTATCATGCCCAACATGCATAACAACTCCATAAATCTGAATTTTTTTTGATCATTAACTCTGAAAAGATTTCATTAATTAGAAAACTTTAGGATACAACAAGAAGTTGTGATTTTGTGAAAGAAGTCAGCTTTAGTAAGCTGACCCGGGACAGAATTACAAATGTACCCAAAACATGTGTTCTTTGAACCCCTTGCTTTGCTAAGCTATCTTCCAAACTGTTGGCAGGTCTCCTAACACATCGCACCTGGATTGACATGTTCCTTGACATGCATTTAAGTCTTTGGAAATCATTCTTCAACTACCATGTCACCCCTTCCCCTTTCTGCAACCATTTTATCACAGTTTTTGAGTCTCCCTCCATGATCAGTCTATTAATACCCAACTCTTTAGCCTTTTCAAATCTCAACCCCATATGCTGCAGCTAGAAACTCTGCCCTTGCCACATCACCCTACTCCACAGGACGAGAGTACAAAGCAATAATGTTTCCATTTTCATCTCTATCTCTCCAATGCTTGAAGGGCCTGGATTACTCACACAACTCCCATCAAAGTTCAGCTTTTTCCAACCATCTGTTGGAGGAGACCATGCCTCAAAAAACTGTTTTAAGTCTCCAAACCCTAAAAAAGTCTTTGACCTTAAAAGCTGAAAACAACTATGTGCCACCCTCAATGTTATTGTGTTCACTAATGCTTCCTTACATTTTTCTTTTCCTTCAAATATTCTTGCATTTCTTTCCTCCCAAACATTCCAAAGTAGTGCTGCTCTAGTACACTTACATAGAATCCTACCCCTCCTTTTCATTCCACTAATACCATTATGGCTGAATAAACCTTTTAACCTGTTAGGAGAAGACCACCTGCTCCCAAAAAGGGAAGTAAACCAATTCCAAATAAAACTGACAAAAGGGCAAGATATTAGAAGGTGAAAAAGCAGTCTCACCACTCAACTTACATAGGACACACCAGTTGGGGAACAAGCACCAATTTGGTCTTTTTCCTTTGAAGTACATCAAAGGT